AGTTCAGGGCTGGATTGGGTGATGTCATAGTTCAGGGTACTGTAGCAAAGTTCTATGAACAAGGTCGTATATAAACTACATAAATTTATTTCTTGCGAATCTGAAGACTGGAAGTCCAAGAACAGCTTGTTAGAATAGTTGGATTCTGGTTAGAAATCTCTTCCAGTTTGGATGAAAACTATAGAAAACTTATGAAGGAAATTGAGGAAGACAGGAAGAAATGGAAAAACATTCCATGCTCATGGATAGGAAGAATAAATATAGTTAAAATGTCATTACTACCCAAAGCAATCTACACACTCAATGCAATCCCAATCAAAATTGCACCAACATACTTCTCAAAAGTAGAACAAACTATCCAAAAATTTGTATGGAACCACAAAAGACCCCGAATAGCCAAAGTAATACTAAAGAATAAAACCAAAACGGGAGGTATCACCATCCCAGACTTTAGCCTCTACTACAAAGCTGTCATCATCAAGACAGTATGGTATTGGCACAAAAACAGACACATAGACCAATGGAACAGAATTGAGAACTCAGAAGTGGACCCAAAAGTGTACAGCCAACTAATCTTTGACAAAGCAGGAAAGAGTATCCAATGGAAAAAAGACAGCCTTTTTAACAGATGGTGTTGGGAGAACTGGACAGCAACATGCAGAAGAATGAAACTAGATCATTTTCTCACACCATACACAAAAATAAACTCAAAATGGATAAAGGACCTGAACGTGAGACGGGAAACCATCAAAACCCTAGAGGAGAAAGCAGGAAACAATCTCCTTGACCTCCACCGCAGCAACTTCTTACTTGACACATCCCCAAAAGCAAAAGAATCAAGAGCAAAAATAAACGATTGGAACCTCATCGAGATTAAAAGCTTCTGCACCGCAAAGGAAACAATCCATAAAACTAATAGGCAACCAACGGAATGGGAAAAGATAGTTGCAAATGACATATCAGATAAAGGGTTAATATCCAGAATCTATAAGGAACTCACCAAACTCCACACCCGAAAAACAAACAACCCAGTGAAGAAATGGGCAGAAGATAGGAACAGACACTTCTCCAAAGAGGACATCCAGATGGCCAACAGACACATGAAACGATGCTCAGCATCCCTCCTCATCAGGGAAATACAAATCAAAACCACACTGAGATACCACCTCACGCCGATCAGAGTGGCTAAAATGAGCAAATCAGAGAACTCTAGATGCTGGCGAGGATGTGGAGAAACGGGCACCCTCCTACACGGTTGGTGGGAATGTAAACTGGTACAGCCCCTCTGGAAAACAGTGTGGAGGTTCCTCAGGAAACTAACAATAGAACTCCCCTATGATCCAGCAATAGCACTGCTAGGAATTTATCCAACGGATGCAGAAGTACTGATGCATAGGAGCACATGTACACCAATGTTCATAGCAGCAGTTTCAACAATAGCCAAATCATGGAAAGAGCCTAAGTGCCCATCAACAGATGAATGGATCAAGAAGATGTGGTTTATCTATACAGTGGAATACTACATGGCAATGAGAAAAAATGAAATCTGGCCATGTGTAGCAACATGGATGGACCTTGAGGGTGTTATGCTGAGCGAAATAAGTCAGGCAGAGAAGGACAAATACCATATGTTTATATGTATAGGAAGATTGGGAGGAACTTAACGGAGGACCAAGGGGGAGAAGAAGGGGGAAATAGTGAGGGAGAGGGAGAAAGGCAAACCATGAGAGACTCTTGAATGCTGAGAACAAACTGAGGACTGATGGGTGTAGGGGGATAGAGGGGAGATGGGCATGGAGAAGGGCATTTGTGGGGATGAGCACTGGGTGTTATATGGAAACCAAGTTGACAATAAACCATTTGTAAAAAAAAAAAAGTAAAAAAAAGTAAAAAAATAATCACTTAAAAAGCAAAACAAAACAAAACAAAACAAACAAAAAAAGAAATCTCTTCCAGTTTGTAGGCTGGGACATAACTTCTTGCTCTCAGACTCAAACTGAAACACTGGTTCTTCCTGGGTCTTAAGTCTGCCAGCTTTTGGACTGGAACTACTGTAGTAGTTCTGGTTTTTAAGTCCTCATACTCAGACTCGAACTACATGATTGCCTTTCTGGTCCTCTAGCTTGCTGACTGAAGATATTGGGACTACTCAGTCTCCATAATCATGTGATGCAATTCCTTATAATAAATCTGTTATAGAAACAGATTATATTACATATAAATATAAATATAAATATATAGTTAGTTCTCTTGTTATACACCTCTGTGTATCTTCTGAGTGTGATAGAAATTAAGAGTGTAACAATAATATCAAATTCCACTTTACATACAGAGACAGGAAAATCCATAGCATGTATTCTCCTCAATATTTATTGATCAGCCTAGATGCATAATCCCTATTCAATCCAAGGCCTAAAGTAGACTATGATGTAAATGCCCTTAGAGTAAGAAATAATACTTTTAAATTTTATTTATTAATAATCAAACTTTATGCTAATTCAAAAAATTGAGGTGAGAATCAGTCACTCACAAGCATCTATTGCCTTTGATCAATCAAATCCTTAATGTTTTTCTAGGGGAAAAAAACCTTTTTAAAACCTGGCCTTGTTCAAGGTTAAAGTTGTTGATTTTTAATAACTGCAAATACAAAAATGATCTTTACTCATTGAAAGTATTGTGAAATAACACTTTCAATTGGAAGTTATTTTATCACTGATATTTTTTACTGATGTATAAAAACTGCTAGCTAGGATTCTAGAGACAGTACTACTGATGCCTATGAAATCGAAACAGGAAGGCCTTGGTAAGTTGTACATGGTATTGGAACATTAGGATTCCTGTAATAGTAGTCAAAAGTGACAATGGAACTTCTTTTTTTTTTTTTTAAATATTTTTATTTATTTCTAGGGGAGAGAGAGAAAGACAGCGTGAGCAGGGGAGGGTCAGAGAGAGGGAGTCACAGACTGAAACAGGGTCCAGGCTCTGAGCTGGCAGTCAGCACAGAGCCCGATGCGGGGCTCGAACCCACGAACTGCGAGATCATGACCTAAGCGAAAGTCGGACGCTTAACCGACTAAGCCACCCAGGCGCCCCGACAATGGAACTTCTAGTGACCCTTTAAAGTTGTTCCTTCAGTGCAGCTGGTTTTCACTCAATCCCGAGGAAAAGTATGACTGGACCACTAACAATAAAGTAAGAGTTTTAAGCTAACTTGGATTTTCTCAGTTTGCCAATAATTCTCAAGGTACTTTGCTGCCTAAATTGCAGAGAGAATAATAAATTATTCCAGAGAATAATCAATTCACAAGTACAAGAGACTGAAATAGGACCAATGTGGCTGGAGTAGAGGGATAGGAAAGTAGGGGAAGAGACAGACTAAGCATGGTCTTATAGGTTATGTCAGGGAGTTTTATGTTTCTGAGATACGTTGATTGACCCACTTTATAGGTAATTGAAAGTTTTCCCTTTTCAGATTTCAGAAGAGTAAAAGCACAGTACTGGTAATGGAATTTGGTTAAGAGGAATATATCCCTAAAAATGTTAGTTATGGCTTCCACTTCGGTCCTTTGAAAATCTACGTATCACCACTGGTTATTACAAAAATTAAATATACTAAAAGAAATGGTAGAAGGAGATATTGGTTCAGAAGGTAAGCTGTTAATTAAAGTAAGCGTACTGGTGAGAGGGAGGAAAAAGGAAAAAGTTCCACTCGGGAATATGAGTCCTGTGCAGTGTAATCTTGGCTGAGCTGACCCTATTACATTAGGCAAACTAATTAACCTCTTTGTGCCCTGGCTGCTTATCTGTAGAGTAAAGATAACAATGACCCACTAAAAGAACTGCAAATCATTCTGTAAATACCAACAGTTATAAAAATAATATAAATAATTGCTTACCCCAATTGTAAGATTTTAGTCTTTACCCGAGAGTTTAAACATCTCTCTGCCTAAATAATAAATAATATGTCAGGTTTAATTTTTATCATACAGTGTTTGTGCACCTGTGCATGCATGTGTGTGTGCACGTGATAGAGTAAACGTGTGTTTAATCTTATCTACAGCGAAATTTGTATTTGTTGAAAATGTACTTTTGTCTTTCTGATGCCTATTGTTCAGTCTGCAATATACTGGGTCCTAGATTATCACTGTAACTCCTATTGGCAGCACGAGGTTTAACACAGTGGAGGAGCTGCTGAGATAGAGGTGGGGAGAGCGAGTTGGGGGAGGAAGAGATACTCCTAATTTCTTTTTAAATGACAACTCTTCTTGCATGTTAAATATGAAGAGTAGGCTTCTTTTGTTTCTTAAGCCTATTTCAATTATATTAACTATAATTAAGCAATTCAAATTGGATCAGCAGGCACATAATAGCATGCCAAGAGTGGCAAAATGAAGGGGCTCCTAGTTGTGTTTTATTGTGGATTCACTGATTCACATTAAAGCTGTCATCAATTTTGTGATATTTCCAATAATTCTGTAGAAAGTACTTATAAAATGTATTCCTTCAGTGGCACATAAAGATTACCTATTTCTGTAATTATTTTTGGTCATCATGCCACACTCTCTTTAGCTGATGAAAGGAAATAATAATCAAACAATAAAATATTTACAGAATTGGAATAGTTATTTCTTTGTGAACTCAAAAAAGAATCTTATGTTCTCTTCAATTCCTTATTTTTAAAATTCATGCCTACTAAATATGTAGACTGTTTCCATGATGTTATTAATGACTCAGACATGTGATTGCAATGCTTTTGTTGGTGTGATTTGGCCTATAGCCACATGGCTGCCTAGGGATCCTGGTTAGTGGCCAGGACTAGCTAGTAAGGGACAATGAACTAGACAGAAACTACCTTTTAGTTTCAACAAGTTCCCCTCTTTTATCTAACTACTGTTTTCCTGCACTTTGCTCAGCTAAAGTGGGGAAACAGGTTTTTGAATTTTTCAGTGAGGGCTGAGAAATATCTCTAACAGGTATTATGTATTTTATTGACGTCTCACCTGACTAGGCCTTCTTTCCCAGTTTCCATTTCTTTCTGCTCTGGCATCATTTCCTTTGATTCTGTTGGATTTTGATGGTTAGAGGTTGTGGTCAGATCTTTGAGTGAGTTTTTTTCGGAGATTTTATCTATAGAAGGGAAACAACATATAGACAAAAGAATATATGCCACTGTTGATAAGTTACAAAGATACTGTTTTTTTTCTCCAAAATAGTCTCAGGAATTCCTCCCCTAGGATTCCTGCTAAACAAAGTAGGACCTTATGCAGGAGAAGTTAACTTGTAGACACCTTCAGGCTGATGAAAAATATACTTAAAGTTGTTGTATTATGAAACAAATAGTTCATAGTACATATCTTTTTGAAACTAGCAAAGCTGAGATTAATAAGGAGTAATCATTCAAAAGGCATTTCAGTTCTGCTAAAGCATTATTCATAATATGTGGCTGAAATTGAAGCCTCATAAAATTCAGAAAAATAAAACAGGCAAAAGTGTTGTCATTGACATTATTTCAGAATTTTGCATTCTAATTTTTTAATGAAATTAAGTCTTTGTTTTTGGCTTGATCATCTTTATTTATGACATCTTTTCTGAATAAGCAATGCAAACTAATATGTGCTAGCTTCATTTTCAGCCCAGAAATTAAAATTTTTCCCTTGAAGCCTACAAATACAATTTCCAATTAATATAGTATAAATTGTAGTGTACCAAGAGAATAATCAATTCATTGGTAAATATTTGGATTATAGAGAAAATTTAATGAAAGCAAATTGTTTAATATAAAAAGAAAATATAGAAGGAGCAAAGAAATAGAATGAACACAATTTAATGGTTATTCATTGTCCACAGTTTCTAATTTATTTTTAATTGGATGTACTGTGATTAGAAAATTAAAATCAACATCCAAATCATAACTCTTATTTTTTTGTAATAAATTATAATTGAAAAAACTTAAGCCAACCCAGTACTGAAAATCTGGATTCACAAAAATGATAAATCATGGGGTGATCATTTATTTACTTTCATAAAAGCTTTTACCATACAAGTAATTTAATATGAAAATTCCTACGATCTGCCTAAAATCTGTCAATGTATAAAACTTTTAAGGAACATGTTTTAGGAATAAAGGCAATCATAAAATTGACTCAGTACTTAGAGTTTTAAAAGTTTTATGCCTAAGAAAGCTTAAACCCCAGGATTTCACCAAACAGATTTCTTCATTATGTATCTCCTACCTACATTTATTTTGGAATTCTAGTAATTTTGGCTAGAAGATGGAAACCACATTATAATGTTTAAATGAAAACCCCTTGAATTCCTAACTTTACTTAGGATACAAAGGACCATTACTATAATCATGTTCTTAGAGTCTCTGTGTAAAGACTATATTCCAGATGAAATGGTTCCACGTGTATGGAATCTTACTTAGAGTACAGGATAGGGTCCTTTTTATACAAGCACATGTGGTACACTAGTGAGCTTATCAGTATTGAACAGGTTTCAAAGTAAAAAAAAATGCACTTTCAGTATGTCATTTTGTACTAAGAGGCTTTTGGTAGAAATAAGAGTGAAGGATCTATTTTCCCTATGTATTTGGGTCAAGCCATATTTTTCCATTTCTCTTTATCCAATCAAAAAGAAATCATTGTTCAGTTCTCTAACATTATGCTACATATTGCTGCCTAGCAAAATGACAGCAAAATCCTTTTCCTATATCCACAAACACTGGGGTAATTATGGTAAGATATTTGACAGCAAAGTTCTTAATCTCTTGCCACAGGGGTCTAGTGCACTCATGGACTGGAACTTTTGAGACTGTATGTTGCCTATGCAAATTTTAGATGGAGAGGATCTAAGGTTAACATAAGCTTTTCTAAGAAGTCTGGACCAAAAAAGAGTTATGAACCATGGTGTCCATATATTTTTCTGGGAGTAACCACAACCTGCACCCAAATTAGAATTGAAATAGAGCATGAAATATGAATAAATAATCATAAAAAACCCCTCCTGAATATACAACAAGCAGAGTATGTAAAACAGAGTATTTCTTAAGGGGCTTTTATTGACTGTTTCTTAGAAAGGCATGTGATAATAAGCAGCATCACATACTTCCATTACTCATTTAAGCTACAGAATATTCATTTAAGCTACAGCATATTCATTAGATTTACACTATTACTTTTCTGCTAGCACCAATCAAATGACTATCTGTTCTGCAACAGTTCTTTTTTCCCCCTTCTAATAAGGAATTTTTGTTCATCATCATAACACTTGGATTTAACTGTAAGTAGATCATTGTACCTTACCAGGTCTTTTCTAGACATTACCAACTCCTTCTAAAATGACCCTGCCTCTACTATGACAAGTCTAGGTTATTCAGAAATTAATTACAACTTAATTTGCTTTGTGGATAAGCATTTTAATTACAATATAAGTCCTTAATCACAGCTTGCTGATGAAGATGAGAAACCAGTTATTGCCCATTCTTGGATTCAAAGCAGAACAACCTTAAACATACTCATGAGGACTTAAGGATCCCCATCAACTATAGTCATTTTGGGTGTCTTTTTATCCAGGCAGCATGTTATTTGTTTGTGGGAACAGATGGTCAGATTGTTAGCATCATCCTCATCATGGAAGAAATTTAAAATACACAGCAAATCTTTCTCTGGCATCTGGGTGAAGTTTTGTCAATCTCACATTATAGTTTTCCCCAGCTTCACACATGGACAGCAGGATCCCCTCGTTTGTAGCTGCTCTGATGAATAGTGTCTTTCTGCCAACTGTGCTCTGAGCACATTGCATAGCAACTGCCAGATCTCATCAGTACACTTGGTCAAATTGTGCCCCGGAATGTGTGCCCATGGCAGATAGTAAAATATGGAGTCAAAGTGTTCTGATATGCTTGCTTTTATTGAATGTGCAAGAATGAGTATTGAGTTTGCCCTCCACACACCTGGCTGATTTTGTCTTTGGCCTGGAAACATCTCACACTGGGCCTCTGTAATACACTTCCAAACTGCTTTGTCCCCTTGTGGCAGCACACTGTGGAGAGCCGTGCAGGTGTGAAACATCTGCTTCTGTCTTTAAGTGAGGAAATAAGTGATGCAGAAAGCCATTAACCTTCCACATTTTATCAGTGGCACTAAATAATTGCTGGAAAAGGAGGAATCCAAAGAAAGAAACTGATTTGGGAATAAAGTTGTGAATTAGGCAGGTGTTGGTTCAATTTTTTTTTTTTTTTGATGGATGTAAAAAGAAGACTTGAAAATGCTTTCATTGGTTGGAATGTTTGATGTGGGTGACATATCACTTGGTTGAATTTCTAACTCTTAAAAAAACCAAATACATTGTGAGTTCTATCTCTAAAACTAATTTCCTTTTATTGGATACCAACAATATCTGAGTAATTAGATGTTAGGTGAATTAAAAAAAACAACTAAGCCTGAGTACCTTGATCATATGCTTAAACGTTACTATCAATTTCATCTTAATGAATTAATGTTTGGAATAAAATAACAACACAGTTTTAAGAAATGTATAATCAATGATTATTTTCTGGCATCCAAGATTGTATTTTGACTCAGCTTGTGTTTAATTTTTTATTTATAGTTGCTAGAATATATAGTGTTCTTAGAATAATTTTAATTATAACATTTTGATCATACTTGAAATTTTATTATATCTTTGTGGATTGTCAAATGACATGGAGGAAGCTGACAAACATTACAGCAATGAGTATGAAAAAGAACTTTAAGGAGTGTCCTAAAATGTCACAGATTTGAAAAATGTAATTCTTTTTATTACATTATAATCTACAAATAATCCAGAGGAGAAGGAATCAGAGTAAGTGAGAGTTCTGGCAATCATCTCATATGAGGAATGTTGAAGAAACTTTGGGTCTAAAATAGCTAAAGACTAACTGGTGACCTAGCAGTTATTTCAAATTCTTTGAAGGACTGTTGCATAGAAAAGACTTATTTTACATATACCAGAAGGCAGAAGAAAGATTCATCATTGGGATTTACAAAACAAACAAAATTCCAAACATTCTAGTAATTAAACTTGTCTAATAGTGAAACATATGGCTTTGTGAGGCAGTGAAAGCCCCATTGATGGAAATTTACAGGTAGAAGCTGGAGCCCATATTAAGGACCCAGATGGGGTCCTTGCATTAAGTCAGAGGTTAGAAGTCTTCTAGTCTGTCTTAATGTGCCAAAAACTCCTGAAGGGGTTTTTATATTTAGGATTTTTTTTTTTTTTACTTTAAGATACATCATTACAAGTAAATAAATGAACATCAACAAACAAAAAAGAATACAGATCCATCTAAGGTAGCTTTGGTACTGCATCAGGATGAGGGATCTTGTCCTCTCTCAATGTCATGCTTAGTTTCAGGGACTTTTGTACTGGGATTAATTCATCTAGAAAATACATTTTATGTGAAGGTATTAAGGAGTGTGGTGAGTTAACTGGTGCTAGGTACTAAACACAGAGCTCTAATCCTTACATCACTAATTCTCTGGGTGACTGTTGATAAGTTGCTTTTCTACAACAGTTTCCTCATCCATAAAATGAGAAATACTTTTGTCATGGGGATTTCTGTGAGGATTAGATAAACACTCCATTCAAGAAAAATGCAATATGAACACAAAGTGTTCCACCAGCTCGACTGGTGTAAATTATCTGCTTTTTAAAAAATATATTAACTCTTTCAAATCTGCACAGCATTGATATATATAAGGCATGCTGAAGCTTTTATTTACTTACGAATGTTTCAGGAATCAGGAAAGCAGAACTAGCTATATTCTTTAGCAGAGAAAAAAAGCTAAAAACATAGTTTATTTTAACCGAATTATACAAATATATTTAAGTCATGCAAACTATAAAATATATGGTATTTTATAAAAAAAATAAAATTCATCCTATCCACATTGGTTAGAATCTCTTAAGTTTTTAGTTTATAAATCAAGTGGAAACTAAGAAGTTTTATCAGAGTCTGGAATTCTATTTGATATTTAAAACAAAATATAATTTCTATGCCTAAACTTCTCCTTCCAGCTGATCAGACCTCAGCAAGGCAGCTCTGTTATGTATAATACACAGGAATGGTTATTGATTGTGCACATAGCTGGGCATCTGATGTGAAGAACATGGCCAGTCCACAGCTGGATGGTGATCTGCGTGGTGAACTGGGTCGTTCCAAGGGCTCTGCCCAGTGGGAACAATGGTTGCTATCTAAGCCAGTCAGACTGCTCTCTCTAGAATTTAGACTGGGAAATGAGTAGATGGGAGTAAGATCAGTCCAGAGTAGATATGCAGAGAGAAATGCAAAACCATGTTGATCTTGGGTGAAAGGCAGAGAAAGCAAACAGCTCCTAGGGCTGGATCTTTCCTTGAATGGTTTTCCAGTTTCAGTTATCCATAGATTTTCTTACCCTTGAGCCCCTGTCACTGAAGGTGTCCTAATTATGTCTCTGTGCCTTGCCAAATCAGCATGGTTAGGAATTTTCTTCATCATTCCAAACTATGAAACACATCATATTTATCTTTTTTCTAGAGTAAGTTTTCAGAAATTTCACATGCCATGTTTATTCACTTCTTTCTTTTATTCATCATATCAGGTTTCATTTTGAAGGAATGTTTCTTATGTTCAATAACCTTAATTGTTTACTATATAAGGTTTTTTCTTTTTTCCTTTTGGATGAAGCAGAAAAACATACTTGAGTAGTTTTTGATAAAGAGTTTCTCTCATTTTGTTGTTATTGTTTCTATATTCCCACCTTATCCTTTGTCTGATGTATAGTATTGACAGTTACAGAAAGTGAACTATACTACCAAAATTAGCCATAGTATGTCCTGTGCGCGGTAATCAAACTCATTGTTCTTATATAGGGAAGCTTTATTGATTTAAAAATTAAATTTCTGTACATAGTCTGGCTATTTTCCTATTCCATACAAGACTAATTAAATTTGTGTAAGAAGTCTTGTCAAAGACCAAAGAGTGATTTCCTGTTTAAACTAGCTAGGATTTTCCCTCCTTTTTTCCCCTGAGATATCTAGAAAATTAATATGCTTTATGTCTCATTGTAGTTTTAAGTTAGAGCAGTTTTTAGCTTTCCTTATTTTTGCCCAAACTGAGTTGGCTGAGATGTGGGCTAGGTCAGCTTGGGTAGTGGCGGGGGACTGGCAGGGCCTGGGACACCTCTGAAGACCTGGAAATGTGCTGGACTTGGAACCTAGGTCTTGGCTGTGGAGAGCTATTCGGCACAGGAGGCCCAGAGAGGACACCACATTTGCAGTCGGTTTTCAACACAAATCTGGGGTGGAGGGCATGAGGGAAGATAAAGGGAAGACGAGAAGATAAGTAAAAATATTGCTGGATTCAGCATCTTGTCTACGTTGTTACTGTTCATCGGTATGAACAACGCAGAGTACCCACCATTCGGTTGGTTAGAGGTCACAGAATGGTCAGATGGGCTAAATTTGACAAGATTTCAATTTTTAAAAATATTTTTATTTATTTTTGAGACAGGGAGAGAAGGAGAGAGAGAGACAGAGACAGAGAATGTGAGCAGGGAAGGGGCAGAAAGAGAGGGAGACACAGAATTCAAAGCAGACTCCAGGCTCTGTGCTGTCAGCACAGAGCCTGTCATCAGGCCCAAACTCAGGAACTGTGAGATCATGACCTGAGCTAAAGTCTGATGGCTGAGTCACCCAGGTGCCCCACGATTTCAGTTTTTATTTCAGTGATTTAAAAAGAAACCATTTAAACATTGAAAAAAGTTGACATTTAAAAATTGAGAGATTTCAAATTAAAATTTGTATTTAAAGTCTCTCTAGACTGAAGATGGACCATCTGGCAGTACTTGCCTCTCACCTCCATATGACAGTGACTGGTTGGGGCTGAGTGGCCTCTGGCCTCTTTAGACAGGGCATTCATGATCCTCATTTATGCTATCCGACTCCCTTCAACATTGGAATTTGTCAGTCTCAATGCTAAATGCTTTACATATATTAACTAATTTAAACTGTATCTACAACCTAGAAGATTAATGGCAGTATTATCTTTATTTTATACATGAGTAATTTGATACTTAAAGATGTTAACTATCTTGACTAAAGTCAAAGTTATTATTAAGTAGTAGAGTTATAATTTGAATTCAGACATGTCAAGCTCTAAAACAGTGCTCTTTTTACTATCATATACTGCCAATATACTCAATTTATGTTACTGATTAGAGCAAAAATTTATTATTTCTTTTTTTGTTACTTAAGTATGTAGTATTTTAAAGCTGTACATATTAGTTTTCTATTGCGGTAGCAAACAAGCTTAAAGGCCTAGAACAAGGCAAGTTTATTCTTTTCCAGACTGTAGAGGTTGCCTGTGTTCCTTGGTTTGTGGTCCCTTTCTGCATTTTCAGATTGCATCAATGCAATGCTTCCATCATCCCATCTTCTTTTGTCTTTGATCCTTCTGCCTTCTTCTTATGGAAGAAGAATTCTTATGAGAATTCCTTAATTACATAGAGGCCTTCTGGGTAATCTTCCCATGTCAAGATCCTTAATAATATCAGCATTTTGTTCCCCCTCATGTAACATATTCACAGTCTTTAGGGAGTAGGGTGTGGATGTTTTTGAGGGGCCATTATTCAACCCACCATACCACACTAGCTAGCCAGGAATACCTAACTTTGATCCATTTCCACAGAAAGCACCTTACAACATCATAAACTATTAGGGAAGTCATTTACATATCCTCTACTGGTACTAAAACATTTTTTTAAAGAATGCTATAAGTGAAGTAGAAATCCAAGAAAGATGACTATAATCAAAAGAGGACCTTAGAAAGTTATCTTCATTTGAATCCAAAATGTATTACGTTCTTCATTTCCATGGTGGGTAAAATTTAAACCATGCTCTGCAGAAGATAAGAGTTCTATAATCAGAAATCAACATCTGCAGATATTGTGACACTGCACCTGCATGTTTTGAAGTGAAGAATATAAAAATACCAAGCACATATAAAAGGCTATCTTTAAACACTAATAATTTTGCTTTTTCAAAACAAAATATCTTAAATATAACTGCTTTTCCTATTAAGGCCTTTGAAGACATGCTAAGTCTGCAAATTTAAATGAAACTATTTTTTTCCTTTCCACTCAAAAAGCTTCTATGTTAAATGAAGCTTCCACAAGAGTTTTATTACCAGCTATGAAAAATTAAGCTTACAAACACACTTTGAAAAAAGTAACAAGAGTAGGACTAAACTTGTCATCGAAAAGATGTGATCCTTGGTTTCATACCATTAAGGTTGTATTTTTATGGGGTGCCAGGGTGGCTCAGTTGGTTAAGAATCCAATTTTGGCTCATGTCATGATCTCATGGTTCATGAGTTTGAGCCTGTTTTCTCTCTGTCTTGCTCTCAAAATAAGTAAACTTAAAAAAGAGAAAAAATTTCTTTAAAAAGAGGTTGTATTTTTAGGTCAGAAGAACTGCAAATTGGAAACCATCACTATTATAAAATAACTTATAGTAAAACAGAATGGCAGCAGAACATACAGGTGTATATGTCCAGAAGTTACTTAGAAAATATTGGACAGGAGAGGACACTTGTTGGGATGAGCACTGTGTGTTAAATGTAAGTGATAAATCACTAAATTCTATTCCTGAAATCATTATTATACTACGTGTTAACTAACTTGGATTCAAATTAAAAAAATTAAAAATTAAAAAAGGAATATTTCTGGAAGAATGTACTTGGAAAGAAAAGACAAGAAAAGAAAATATTGTACAGTGTCTTAAAAAAGGAATTGGGTATGCTATGGAATAATTGATATAGAAATGAGTTATGGTAGCCTTAGGAGTAGATGAGATTTCTAATGGAGAGAATTTAAAGGAAGAAGACCAGAGGTATGAGCATTGAACCTTTAAACATGTACAATCTACATCTATTTTATTATTTTATAACACTTACTTGAAATTATATTGTTTATTATATGCCTATGTTAACACAGACTTGGCTATATTGTTCACCATTATATCTCTAGCCCATAGACCAGTGCCTGGCACATAGCAGGTAGAAAAAAAAAACATCTATTGAATAAGTGACTGAATGAAGAAATTATGTTTTTATGAACACTCAGATCTTTAAAGTGTCTCAAGTGTGATTTACACTAGATGATTTACCTAGTCAAGGTCAAGTGTTTCATCAGACAACACATTTCATAGAGATATGCATTTTACATTTTAGTTTGTTTTCCTATAGATTAGAGTTCTGACCTTGTATTTTGGTGTGTGACTCTTCAAATGTGACTGGAGTCATCTTGGTTTGGAGAGATTTCTTTTCACTTTTGTTTTCTTCCTTTGAGAAACAAAATTAAGATTGTACACAATGAATTTACATAAAAATAAAGTTGAATGTAAAATACAACATGGGGTTTTTCAGTCAATGATCAAGCCAATCATTAAAGCTTATCATTTGTTTATAATACACTGCAAATGATAAGTCCTGCACTTAAATGAATATTCTCGGCTCTACTATTAAATGATCGGTCTTGACCTTCATAGCTTGTTGGCCTCAGACACTCTTTTTTTTTTTTTTTACAAATAGTTTATTGTCAAATTAGTTTCCACATAACACTCAGTGCTCATCCCCACAAGTGTCAGACACTCTTTTTTTTGTCCTTGTTGTTGCTACGTCTATTTGGCGTATGGTCCTCCCACTTCCAGTCCTCACTCCTTACAGTCCTAGTGTTGGTCCTGGTTTAGGTCTTTTGTAGTAGAACTGAAAGCGATAGAAATAAGTAGTCTAGTTTCTTAATTCAGAGCTATCTTCTCTTTGTTATTTCATTTGCCTCTACCTTGCCATTTGTCTGAGCATCTAAGCTTTCCTTTGAAATGTAGGTATGTCTCATTAGATGTGGCCAGTGTGTGTCTGAGGATATTCCTATGGGAACAGAGTGAAACAAGATATAAGATTAGAACATAGAAATGTTGGCTCCCAAGCTGTTTGCAGAGTAGTAGGGGAAACATGCACATACAAACATAAGTGCAAGAAAATGTAAGTAATGAATGTCTGTAGAAGATAGAGACAGGGCACAAAGGTGGAATGGTCAATTCTACTGGAGTAGAAGGAAAGGGAGGAGACTATCAAAAAGGAAGTAACTCTGAATTTTACAAATCAAGATGAATTTTTTTTTTCTGGATGAACAAGGCATGAAAAATATTCTAGGTAGTGGATACTTGTTTAGCAAAAGTCTAAAGTGTGATTGTATACAGTTTGGGAGAGATTAGAAGTGATTGGATGGGAAAGAGTGTGAGAAAATAAGCCTAGATAAATAGGCAAGGACAAGGGCCTTGAGAGTCCCATAGGCCTTGATGTGGAGTTTGACATTATTTATCAGCACTGTATATCAGAAACATTTTAAACTGGTAAGTAAATTAATCAGATGCTTTAATGTAAGCCTCACAGTAACCATATGTGTTAGACAAGATAGCTATTATTATTATCTTATTGAGTAGGAAATTGATTAAGTGACTAAAAAGGTATGGATCTCTGTATATATTATGAAGTAGTGGTAAAGCCTTCTGATTTCAGTCAAGTACTTTTACATCATGTCATGATGTTCTTCATAAAACTTTTCATCATAGTCTTTTTCATGTATACAAAGGTAGATTTATGTGAATGGTGTCTTATTCTGTAGTATGACAGTTTGGATTAATCTGAATTTGCAGATCTTGATTTATTGTTTATTGACAAATGGAAGTCACCTATGCTATTTTGGTTTGAAAACTAACTCTTTAAATGACACTTTAAAAGAACACTGTAAATTGATTTTTTATTCCTAAATATCTTCTTATAGGCCTCAAATAATCAATTTGTATTTCAGAAGGTTGTTGTTTAAATGCCAATTTAAAAGGTTGTATTCTGTGGATAAAAATATGGTTTTAAATTTTTTTCATTTTTCACATTTAGCATATTTGAAACTAGACAAGAATATTGCCTCTACCAACATGTTATTATATCTAAAGAGTAGATGCAAATAATTTCCTAAAGTATGGCTTTTAAGATATAATGTGAGGTCAGCAGACTTCATCAACATCCATAAGTGTTACGTCATGGAAATGTCGTGGGATATACACAAGAGTTGTTCTACCTGTGTCTAATCTAAGTACTTCTCCAGTATTACTGTTTCTGAAGGAAAGACAATTCCTTAAGGAATTTCCTTTGTTTTCGCCTTCTCTCTAACATCCCTTTATCCTGCGAGTAGATTATTTAGAAAGTTTATTCAACAAATATTCATCCTGGTCTGAAGAAGTATAGCCTAGATATTCAGCTTTGAGGTGCTGAAGTCAGATGGAACAGGGTTCCAATCGAGCTCTGCCATTGTCAGTTGTGTGCAAGCAACAAACTATAACAGGACTCATGGTTATTCTGAAGATTATTATAATAGAGCTTGGAAGAGGATAGCACCTTGCCTGGCACATAGTAATTATTGTTAGCTATTATGTTCTCCAAGAGAATGATATATTAATTATTTTTATGTGTTCTGTGGAAAAATAATCAGGATAGACAAAGGTTAAATATCATGGTAGTGATATTCCCAGGGAGTAACACAAGAGTAGCTCAACATTTATGATATTCTATGAGTTTTTTAACATATAAATAATTTTCAAACTGTGGAATTATTTATTTTAACATAAGAATTAGAAAAAAGTCAAGGGTATTCTCATGAAGCAATGCTAAGCACATCCTCCTTCATATCTGCTCTCCATTGCAAACACAGTCAAAGTCAATCAGAAGTGAAAGGCAAAATTTTCAGGACCAATGCTAAGTCATCTTGGTGTTTTCTATACTCTAGGCTCATTTACACCTGAATCATTAGACCATGTTATTTGAGTCTCTGAGGTACACTACTCCTGCTTGTACTTGACATCTTTCATCTAATTCTTTCAATGGGAAGATAATTATTGCTTTAAAAACCTTACGTAGCACTTTTAGATAAATTTAGTCAGTAATTTATGAAAATTGTTCTATCGATATTTTAAAGTGAATATTGATCATATAATTATCATTTGGGACTTTAAGGTGTCATATAAGCATAAATTACTTATAATAATGATAATAATAATTGCCATTTGGGAAGTCCCTACTATGTGCTTTATATATACTGTCTATAGTTTATACAACAAGGCTACAGAGCCAAGTATTATCCTCATTTTACAGATGAATAGGCCTAGAACTTGTGAAAATTACTTGTCTAGAATAGGGTTCCTAAACTTAGATGGTATTGAAATTCTATGTTGTGAAGGGCTGTCCTTGGATTCTATGATGTCTATCAGCATCTTTGGTCTTTACTTCCAAGATGCAAGTACCACCTCTACCTCTGAGCTGTGACAACCAAAAATAACTCTGTACATTGCCAGTTGTCTTGAGCAGCAAATTGTTTCCTATCAAGAACTCCTGGTCTAGAGAAATTACTGTTAAATTGTTGTTTATCATTTCTAGGGTGCTTGACATTCTTTGTTGAAACTAATTCAATAGCCCAATTAATATTTGAGAAATGATTTCATTTGGTATTATGGTAGAAGTGTAAATCTGCAATGAAAAGTCTTATTTGGCTTTTCCAACTCCTAATATAAATTAAAACATTTATTAATCTGTTTTAAAGCAACTATATATAGTATATATAAAACAATGGGGGTAAAAAATCCCAAAGAAAAACAAGTGCATGACCCAAATGGTAGCAGGTGAAACAGCAAAGCAATCTTACGTATCACAGTATATTAAATCACTGGACAAAAATCCATCACTAGACAAAAAATGATGACAATGAACATTGATTTAGATATGTAAGTAGCATACCTGTCTTGTGGATTGCTGAGGCTGATTGCTTGGATCAGGACCTTGTTTACTCTCATCGTTTCCCTCTCTAGGCTTCACCTTGTTGGATTTTATTGTTAGTGATTTAAACATCTTCTCTGAGATGGTTCTGAAAGCTTCTGTTTTTATGACTCTGTCTTGAGGTAGAGAATTGCACTTTGTTTTTCCTTTCATTAGTAGACAAGCCAATTAGTTGTTTAATCAGGATTTTGTTCTAGCTAATTCCTGGGTAGTAAGGGCTTTGGCTTAAAAGCAGCAAATTACTTCTGCTTGGGTGATTTGAATTCTGTTTATGAACTTTAAAAAGTCAAAATGCCTCTGGGAATAGTTTACAGGTGGAGGAGTAAACATAATTTCATTGTTGATTTGAATTGTTCAGATGTGATCACATTGCCCATTGGTTGGTTTATCTATTTTCCTTTTCTAATCATCCACCTACCTATATTCATCTAACTTAATGAAAGTAACACATACAAATGATTAAAAAGTAATATGTGTATAAGAGCTTATAATAAAAGCAACAAATCATTCCTCCAAAGTTTTCATCTCTAGCCCTACACCATAACTATTTTTTCCTTTTTCTGTTCTTCTGGTGTCCTTTTTTTTTTCCATGAGTTTTTAATTAATTGATCAGATTAATGGAACTCTTAGAAAGTACAGTGGAAAATGAGACATATTGCTTTGCATTCCCAATAGCCTAAATGTTCTCAGATTCATAATGATGATTATACTAGAATTAAGAAAAGAGTATGTTAGTTTGCTAGGGCTACCGCAGCCAAGTACCACAGACTGGGTGACTTAAACAACAGAAATTTATTTATTTATTTATTTTATTATTTGTTTTTCAGAAGCATATTTATCACAGTTTTGGAAGCTAGATATCCTAGATCAAAGTGTCAGTGAGGTTGGTTTCTTCTAGGTCTCTTTCTCTGGCTTTTAGATGGTAATCTTTTCGTCATGTCTTCACATTGTCTTCACCCTGTTCATGTCTGTATCCCAATTACCTCTTCTTATAAGGATGCCAGTCATATTGGATTAAGACCCACCTCAGTAATCTCATTATAGTTTAAATACCTGTTTAAAGACCCCAACTCAAATACAGTCACGTTCTGAGGTCCTGGGGATTAGGACTTCAACATGAGAAAATATAGTTTTCTTCATTTTGAGAAAATATAATTCAGCCTGTGATACAGAGAGAGTATATTTGATAAATACCAGTTTAGGGCATATGTATTTCATTGCTCAGAGCAATTTGTTCCAAAACTTCTTACAAGTTTACAATTTTCTTACAAATCTCTGGAATATCCTTAAAACTATATAAGTGATTCCTAGCTTTAGAAGCCTAGCTAAATTCTGTTGATTACTAATTTCATAAATTATAAAAATATACATATTTTAGCCAGCATGGATTTTTTTCTGATTCATTGTTTAATCAATAAGGTTAGATTTTTTTTAAAGGAAGACACTTATTTTATCCCCACAACACCTTTATATAGAATAGAAACTCAAGCTGTGTACACTTCATCTTCTTTATCCATGTATCAGTTGATGGAAACTTGGGCTGTTTCCATAATTTCCCTATTGTAGATAATGCTGCTCTAATCATCAAGGTGCATGTATCCCTTTGAATTAAAATTTTTTGTATTCTTTGGGTATATACCTAGTACTGCAATTGGTGGATCATAGGGTAGTTCCATTTTTAACTTTTTGAGGAACCCCCATACTGTTTTCCAGAGTGGCTGCACCAATTTGCATACCCACCAACAGTGCAAGAGGGTTCCCTTTTCTCCACATCTTCACCAACACCAGTGATTTCCTGTGTTGTTAATTTTAGCCATTCTGACAGGGGTGAAGTGCTATCTCCTTGTAGTTTTGATTTGCATTTCCCTGATGATGAATGACACTGAGTATCTCTCATGTGTTTTTTGGTCATCTGGATGTCTTCTTTGGAAAAATGTCTATTTATGTCTTCTGCTCATTTTTAGTTGGATTATTCACTTTCTGGGGTGCTGAGTTTTATAAATTCTTTACATATTTTAGATACTAATCTCTTATCATATATGTTGTTTGTAAATATCTTCTCCCATTCTGTAGGTTGCCTATTAGTTTTGTTGTTTCCTTCACTGTGCAGAAGCCTTTTATTTTGATGTACACCCAAAATTTATTTTTGTTTTTATTTCTATTGCCTAAGGAGACAAATCTAGAAAACTGTTGCTACAGCCAACATCAAAGTAGTTACAATCTATGCTTTCTTGTAGGATTTTTATGGTTTCATATCTCACAATCAAATCTTTAATCCACTTTGAATTTATTTTTGTGTATGGTGTAAGAAAGTGGTCCAGTTTCATTCTTTTGCATGTTGCTGTCCAGTTTTCCCAACATCATTTACTCAAGAGACATTCTTTTTCCCATTTGATATTCTTTCTTGATATGTTGGAGATTAATTGATCATATAGGTAAGGGTACATTTCTGGGTTTCCTATTATGTTCTATTGATCTATGTGTCTATTTTTATGCTAGTCTCATACTGTTTTGATGACTACAGCTTTGTAATATCACATGGAGTCCAGAATCGTGATGCCTCCTCTGATGAATAGAAATGTTTTTTAAATTTTTATTTAAATCCGTGTTAGTTAACATATAGTATAATAGTGATTTCAGGAGTATCTGCTGACTAGTATTTAATTGAAAGCCCTTTAAGATATCTGACAATTTAGTCCTCACTTATATCTAAGTCAGAACTAATTAAATATATTATACTTGCAGTATATAAATTCACACATTTCTTCAATATCTACCACCACAATATGCTGCTTTATTCACTAATGTTTTCCTGCATTTGTGTCTCTTCCCCAAATTGATGATAAGATCTCTACTATCAGAACTCTTTGTTGTGCCACTTCTGATATCACCTTGTCACCTAATGTGATCTTTTCCATTTTAACCAAAGATGTAGAATATCCTACTGTTTCTTTCACAATTTGATTGTTAACCAAAATCACTTTCTGAAAAACTCAAAATTTGTTTACCAATGCCTACATTGGAGGTCTATGAAATTCCACTGAAGATCTCATCTTTTCCTGTTGGAAGTCTATGAGCAAAGCAGGGAATAGAAAGGGAAGGTGGGAATCACAGTGCCTAGGAGAGCCATGGAACTCTCATTTCCATCTTGGTAGAGACACATCTACTAGATGCATGGATACCCCAATGTAAGCCCTTAACAGCATTTTGATTATTAAAATATAGATAGTTATCCCATTTGGGGGATGAAGAACTGAGATAATCCCTGGTTGTCTGCACACTTTTATTCTATATGGCATCTGACAATAGCAATAAGATCATTGAAATGACTTTTTCATCATAAACTAAGTTATTCTTCAAATTCTTCTCTTGGTATACTAGGTTTAAACGTACAAATATCTATGAACAGCTAATATTTTTAAAGTTTATTTATTCTGAGACACAGAGAGAGAGAGAGAGAGAGAGAGAGAGAGAGAGAAAGAGAGAGAAGGCAAGCATGGGGGAAGGGAAGAGGGAGAGAATCCCAAGCAAGCACTAGAATAATAGTGCAGAGTCTCCCAATGCAGGGCTAGATCTCAGGAATTGTGAGATCATGACCTGAGCAGAAATCAAGAGTCAGATGCTTAACTGACTGAGCCATCCAGAGGCCCCATGAACAATCAATTCTTATTGTCAATAGATTCGTCTTTACAAACCTCTCAAAGACCCCATTGAGCAGTCAGGATTTAATGTCCTCTTACAACACACAATACAGTCATGATATTATACTTTAACTATTTAGCTTTTTAAAAACTATTGAACATAAATTTTTTTAAATGTTTGTTTATTTCTGAGAGAGAGAGAGATAGCACAAGCAGGGAGGGGCAGAGAGAAGGGGAGACACAAATCGAAGCAGAGTCCAGGTTCTGAGTTATCAGCACAGAGCCTGATGTGGGACTTGAACTCATAAACCATGAGATCATGACTTGAGCTGAAGTTGGACACTTAACCAACTGAGCCATCCAGGTGTCCAAGAAAAAAATACTGAACATTTTTTAAACAGATAAAATGAATGTCAGTTGCAGAAATTTGTTCTGCTCTTTTAAAATTAAAGCAATTTACATAATAGAAAATGCTTTTTTCCATGTTCTGAAAATACTTTTAAAGTGGAGTCTTGCTTTCTACTTGGAGTTCCAGGGACACTTGAAACATTAGAATACTTGAAAAATTTAATGAGTTAATTAAATTTTACCTGTTTTTCTTGGTAATATAAACATTTTATATAACTAAAAATGTTATTTTTGAAAGAAATCCATGACTAGTTGGGGCACAAAAATATGTGCATATTTTGAGAAGGAATTATTAATGTCCAGCTCTGTTTATCGGGGGAAGTTTATTCCATAACTTGTTTTATTTTAAAAATTAACTAAAAAACTTATTTTTCCAGCTTTATATAAATATAAATGATATATAACATTGTGTAAATTTAAAGTGTACAATAGGATGGTGATTTGATACATGTATGTACTGTGGAACATTTATCACAATTTTGTTAGTTAACACATCCTTCACCTTATATAATTACTATTTGGTTCTTGTTGTGGTGAGAATGTTTAAGCTCTCCTCTTATAGCAACTATCGAATACACAACACAATATTGTTAACTATAGCTACTTCCGGTGGTTATTTCCAAATGGCTAAAAAAGATCTGCTTATTCTACTCTTTTTTTTTTTTTTTAAGTATGTAAATTTGAATCCCAAACCTGTGAGGCACAAGTTCGGCAGTAAGAATTGTTGAGAAACTTGATGGGTATGGAGGAGGGCACTTGCTGGGATGAGCACTGGGTGTTATATGGAAACCAACTTGACAATACACTACATTAAAAAAAGAAAAAAAAGCCAAAGCTAAATCTCTCTCTCACACACAACTGTTGAGAAACAAATAAACAAAAAGAGCAACACAAAAACAAACTCATAGGAGTGCCTGGGTGGTTCAGTCAGCTAAGCGTCTGATTCTTGATTTTGGCCCAGGTCATGGTCTTAATGGATTGTAAGTTCATGCCCTATGATGAGCTCACATGGGGCTCAGCACT